AGCTTCTCCCTCAGATGATCCTTCCACTCCTCCAACAACAGTGAATCTCCAAAGTCAAACTTTAATGGTCTATTGGTGAGGCCCGGGCTTCACACGGGAGTTGTAGAATGGTCTCCCGCTAAGATAGCTCTGCTATCATCTGACATAGGTTCACCACAGAAGTGTGAGTTATCCCATTAATGACTGGCGGAACCATCTTGTGATGTTATGAGTGTGATATAATATCTCATTGGAAGGTGACAGGGCCAGAAAGAGTTAATTACCTCACAGACTGACCTGACCCATGGCCGAACTTTAAAGAGTGGTTAGGAAGATCTGTAAATGAATAGAGCTTTGAAATGCAAGTCTGCAGTGTTAGAGGTAGAAGGGGAGGTGTTTGCTCAGGTCTTATGATGTAAGCAAACAAGTGTTGTCTATTAGTATAGCTTTGATTCAAAGATCAAAAAAGGAGTATCAGTATTTAGGAAGACACTTGAGTGAAATAGTATTATTGTCTCTATGTCTCTTTGAAGGTTGTGGTAACCTGGATCTGAACTGTTTAATGGATAAATTACCATGTGCTAATTGCCAGGATGTTTGGGAGAAGGAAAGTTAAGCCTATTGTTTTCTCAGGCCAAAAGGCTGCAGGAAATGTATAAAAACCCTGGGACACGATCCTGCTTCATCTCAGATCTGCTTTGGGTTACAAGAGCGGGAAACCTTAACCCACAAGGATTGAGATCCCCAGTCACTGACTGGAGCCACCCTGAATATGGACATTGGACTATAACCTCTGGACTGTTTCTAAAAGGACTTTTGGCAACTACAAGCTCATCTCTGCTGTGTCTGAACCTCAAGAATTGAATTCTAGTCTGTCTGTTTATTGATCTTTTAACCAACACTCGCTCTCTTTTCTTTTCTTTTTAAATAAATTTTAGTTAGTTAATAAGAATTGACTATAAGCGTGTATTTTGGGGAAGATCTAAGTTATCATTTGACCTGGGTCTGGGGCTTGGTCCTTTGGGATCAGGAAAACCTTTTCTTTTATATGATGAGATAAGATTTTCAGAATTTATCATCATCATATTTGACATGTGTGTCAGGACGGAGGCCTGAGGCTGGGCACTTTAAGGGAATTGCGTTATTTGGACGTCTGAGTAACCAGTGAGGTACTACAGGAGCTGTTTTGGGCTGGTTGGTAAATCTAAGTATTGGAATATCCACCAGCGTTTGGGGTTTGTCTGCCCCGGTCTGTTTGCAGTTCACCCTAATGGAGTGACCTCAGCTGGCTCCCACGGGCAGCACCGTCACACCTTTCCTTTGTTTCTTGCAAGCAAAGCTATGACTGTACTGCAGATCAACACTCCTTCCAGTGGCCGCTCCATCATCATTCCTGACTTTTGACTGTCTTCCAGGCAAATGCTTAGAATGAGCAGTTGTTTCTCGGTCCTAGCACTTCACATTTTAAAATGCATGTAGGCAGAAGAAGAGATCTGTTCGGGAAGCTCAGTTCTGTAATTACATCCAGCCCTGACCCCTCTAACGGGGCTGGACAGGGTAGTTTTCTGAATTTACTTCAGGTCTGGATTTCAGGGGATGTTGGGTTGCAAAATGGTGTTACCCCCAAAGTGCAAGCAAAGGCTGTTTCATCCCAATACGCATTCTCCCAAGCCATTAGACACTGGATAAGGGCAATGAAGTAAACTCTAGCCAACCCAAAGGCTACATTCAGTATTCTCAGGTGTCTGGGGGATCAAGCAGGTTTAGTTATTTGTCAAGGGGGTGTGTTTAGTTTTCCCAGGTTTCTGGGGTCTCACTGGATTTAGTTTGGCAAGATATACAAGGCATTAGGTATATTTGAACCCAGCCCTTCTTTTACTGCTAGTCACAAGGTAGAAGGTTACATACAGAGGGGTGACAGCTTGTATTCAAATTAGGCAAACTTTACTCTTCATTAGAAGCACAGGTCACATCCTCATTGCTCCATGTCAGCTTGTAAACTAATAACCAGATGCCGAATCGCCCATCGGGAACTGAATAAAAGCAGCTGGATTTCCCTTCCCAAGCGCAGTCGCCCACAGACCGTGGCAATAGCGGAGAACAAGGCTGTAGCTGTTGAACCATCTGGAAGCGAACTGAAGTTTCTGCCTACCTCACAAAATCGGTGACTGAGCTGCCCAGGTGAGCTGGAGAGTCCCTCTTCACCTTTTCCCCAGCTGGTCAGTAGCTTTTGTACCTGCCGTCCCTTTCAGCCAAGCGAGGACATGATCCTCCTAATGTCAACCCTTCCCAGAGGACGTGCACCGAGCTAGCAATTCAGTGAGGGTGCAATTCACCCCAGTGCCAGGAGCCAGCAACAGAGCCGGGCTCCAGCTGAGTCCTCAAACGAGGGTGGCAGTGGGACTGCGATGGTGATTGGGCGTCTGCCCAAGGGAATTTCTCTCTGTGATGTCGATGCACAAGAAACAGGCAGGATTTTCTGACAGGTTAACCCCCGTTGTCTAGGAAGGATCGTGAGTCAACTCTCACATCTTTGGCCAGTGCTCAAGCCAGTCAGAAGACAAGGCAAGAAGCTGGCTGTGTGACCGCTTTCCTCCAGCTGGGTGTTGCCCGAGCTAACCCTTCCATGGTCCCGTTTCAACTCCATTTCATCAAGCCTCGGGCAGTATACCCACTTGTGCCCTGTCCGGTTACAGATACTACAGCTTAGGTTTTTGGGATCCCTTGGAGATGGTCTATCCACATCGACCATCACCCCCTGGGATGGATTTATTTGAATCCCACTTCATGTTGCCCCTCATGTGCCCCCCCTTGGAACCCCAACCTGGGGCAGTCACCCTTTGTTTTGTTCTCACCACCGGACGCACTGTCCACAGATTCATCTGCCAACTGGCCTGTGCTATGAAGAGCCTTGGGCTCCCTGTCCACTAGCCACAGTTTAAGCTCATGGGGACATTCCCATAGCGCCAATCCTACCAGGTCATATAGTGACTCCTGCACCTTGTGAGCAGCAATGCCAGCTGCTTTGTGCATCCAGGTCAGTTTCCCCACATGGGTGTAGGAGGGGAATGCAGGGGTTGGGGTGAAGGGGCAGTGCAGGGGTTAGGGGCATAGGAGGGGGCAGGGGTTGGGGTGCAGGAGGAGGCAGGAGTTGGGGTTAAGGGGGCACAGTTCAGGGGTTAGGAGCGGGGGTGCAGGAGGGCGTGGAGGGGTTGGGATGAAGGGGGCACACACAGTGCAGGGGTTGGGGCACAGGAGGGGGCAGGAGTTGGGGGAAGGGGGCACACACAGTGCAGGGGTTAGGGGCACAGGAGGGGGCAGGGCTTGGAGTGAAGGGGCCATGAACAGTGCACGGGTTAGGGGCATAGGAGGGAGGTGCAGGGCTTGGGGTAAAAGAGGCACAGTGCAGGGGTTAGTAGCACAGGAGGGGGCAGGGGTTGGGGTAAAGGAGGTACAGTGCAGGGGTTAGGGTCACAGGAGGGAGCAGGGGTTGGAGTGAATGGGACACACAGTGCAGGGGTTAGGAGCACAGGAGGGGGCAGGGGTTGGGGCGAAGGCGGCACACACAGTGCAGGGGTTAGGGGCACAGGAGGGGGAAGGAGTTGGGGTGAAGGGGACACACACAGTGCAGGGGTTGGGGCACAGGAGGGGCAGGGGTTGGGGGAAGGGGGCACACAGTGCAGGGGTTAGGGGCACAGGAGGGGGCAGGTTTTGGAGCGAAGGGGGCACACACAGTGCAGGGGTCAGGGGCGCAGGGTGGGCACAGGTTGGGAGTGGAAGGGGTGTAGGTATTAGGGGCGCAGGAGGGGGAGCAGGCATTAGTAGCGAAGGGGACAAAGTGCAGGGGTTGGGGGGAATAGAGGGTGGGGAGCCTGGGGAGCACCTGGGGAGAAAGGGGCAATGGGGGGGCACCACGCCCACGGGGGTCAGGGGCACCAAAATGCAAGTTCGCCCAGGGTGCCATTTTCCCTAAGGTCGGCCCTGACACCATTACCCAATTTGTGGAGATGTTCTCCCAGCAGGGTGGTGGCCTCCGTACACGTCAGGTCTTCTGCACACCCCAAAACCTTTCCCTTGAAGCTTGACTTGTCAATTCAGACTTAAGCAGTAGAGCCTTTTTGAACTCTGTACCCCCCCCCCCCAACTCCACCCATCTGGCTGTACGTCTCTGTCGCTTTGGGATCCCGTAAGGGGGTGAGACAGCGGAGCTGGTCCACAGGGTCAACGTGGTTCAAATCACAAGCCTCCCCCAAGGCAGGGAGGTATTTATATCACCCCCACCTAAACGGGGGCAGCAGTTTGGTATCTAGGCTCCCTGTGGAATTGGCTTCCCATGGTCTCTCCGCACTTACTCCTCGATGGGACCTCTTGTTCTCCTCTTCTCCGTATCCAGTTCATGCTCTCCCTGCGTGTCCTGGTTTTTCTGCTGTTCCACCTGGTGCCGTCGCTGGTCCTCCTCATGCGTTCACTGTTTGTATCAATCAGCTCTCTCCCTTTCAGGGCTTCCTAGTCTCTGTTCCTCCAGCTTCCAGCTCCAACTCTCACTGCCCCAACTCTGGGGTGGGAAATTGGGCTGTGAGGGAGCCATGCGGCTGCTACGGCTGCTGCCTCTGTCATCCCCGGACTCTGTGGGGAACTTGCCTTCTCCAGCCGGGCAATCAACTGCACCTGGTTGAATTTCCCAACACTTCTCTTCTCTCCCTGCACAGCTCTGTGATGCTCTCCGCAGGGAGGCAGGTACCTGCAATTTTCTTGCTTGTTTCCTTTGACTAACCTTGTTTGTACTGCTGCAAGTCACTCGCTGCACAATACTCCTGGTGCATTCAGTGTCCCACCCCTGCCACCAGCTGTCAGGGACCCACAGGATCTGTGCTTTGCCCCAGCTTCTAAATGTCCCTGGTGTGCCAGACCCCAAGGAGTCCCACTTTTCTTTAACGGTAGTAGCGAGTCCAACTGAGATAGACTCCGGGTCAGAGACTTTTGCCCTCTCCAGGGATCAGTGCAACTCAGCAAGTACTTGCAGTGACACCAGGCAGCATTTCAGCACAGAGCAGGCTTTACTAGTCAACTGGAGAATAGCATGGGGAAGTCCTTACGTTAGCAGAGAGAAGCAAAGGCGAACACATAGTCCTTGCTGGCCAAGTCAGGGCTCCCTTGAGCCATGCTGCTAAAGGAACCATCCTGGGATCCTCTCTCTGTCTCAGTTCCTTTGTGTCTCAGTCCCAGGTGAGGGCTCCTGATTCTCCCAAGACCAGGTCTGATCCTAGCCGCCTGCCACTTCCTGGTGCATTGTGCTCTTCCTGTAGACTCAGGCTGAGTTCGCAAGTTCCACCTGCTGGAGGGCCCTGTGGATAGGGGCCAACTGTTCAGTCCTTGGGGGTCTCCATTGTCTTTCCAGATCCTCCATTGATCTGGGTGGGTTTCAGCCAGTCCCTCAACGACCCATTCACACCACCCCGGCCAGCTAGTGACCCAGCACCTCACGTCTCCTGCTCTGCCCCAAGAGCAGCTTTTTAACCTTTTTGTGCCCACTGGGTAACAGTCCCTAGTCGAGTCAGTCACTGCCCCGCATCTCATTCCTAGAAATATTACAGACAATTCCCGCTTCGTCACTTCATGTACGACACTTTTTATTTAAAAAATAAAAAACCAGGAAATTCCAGTCGGAAACTACCTTAGAGTTGCAGTTGAGAGAGCGTATCAGTAATACGGGGTAAAACACATTACAGGGACGATGCTATTATCTGGTAAGCAATCATCATAAACTCAGGAAATTCACAGTTTCAGTTGAACCAAAAAGAAATCCAGATATGTTAAGGTCACATTAGGGCACCCAAACAACCTTAACTCTGCCCTGTCATAACTTCCATACAGTTAAAACTCACTGCAATCTTGTGCCTGGGTTACATTTGAATAGCCTAGTACAGTGGTTCTCAAACTTTTTTTTTCACGGACCACTTGAAAATTGGTGATGGTCTCGGCGGACCACTTAATGATCTTTCCAAATGTTGTTTGTACCATTAGCTAACTATTGTAAAGTGCTTTGGATAAAAACGCTATATTGAAAAAAACCCCTTAATAATAATGAACGTTTTTTGTTCTACAAATAAAAGCACACAACTCCTATTTGAATGTTAAGTAGTCTTACCTTTCTAATGCGATGGATGTGCCCTCTCTCCCGGCAGCTCCCGAGCTGGGGCTGGGAAGGAGGGGGTCTCTCCCCCGCAGCCGCAGCCCTGGAGCTGGGGAAAGTCACCTCTTTCTCTGGCCACCGCAGTCCTGCACGTCCCAAATTCCCCCCACCCCCTCCCACCCATCCACCCACCTCTATTCCCCCCGAAGGCCACCACCTCCAGGCACCTAATTAGTGAAGCCACGCCAGCACGGCTCCACCAGTTAGGTGGGTGGCCCTTCATTCTCTCATGTGCGGCCGCCCAGGCACGCACCTTAGAGGGAACTATCCGCGAACCACCTGAATGGAGCTCACGGACCGCAGTTTGAGAACCTCTAGTCTATTATATGATTAATTATACCTTTTTCCTGTTATTCTTCATCGCAGAAATGTTCTTTGTCAGCATAAATCTTAATTCTGCCCTGTCGAGGCACCATGCAACCCCCCTACCCTTATGATTAAGGCATTTTAGTGTGTGTGTGGGCATTAAACTGATTTGTCAGACACATTAAATTCTCTCCCCCTTCCCCCCCCCGGACAACTACAGGGTAGAGTTAAGGTTGTTTGAGTGCCTTAACTGTCCTTTTTTACACTTTAATATATTTGTATCTTTTAATATTTAATCCTGGCTGTGAATTTCCTGGGTTTTTAAGGCATGTTTTTTGGATCATTACAACAGCTTGTTAGGATATGGATATTTAGGCCTGTCTGTAAAGGCCTAGACTTTCAGAATGTAGGTGTATGTTTATCATGTAGCTAGTTACAGAGGTATAAAAGCAAGAATCAAAATCACGGTCTGCCTGTGACAGTCTGAGGCCCTGTTCTTAAACTGAGACCTTTGGCTAAGCAGTGGCGCGGCCATAGACTGGAAAGCCTCGGTCACGTCCTCACACATTTCAAACCCGTCATGTTGAACTCAGGCAATCTGGGGCTGTTAGGAAGAGGATCCGATCTATCACCTCCAGAGAAAGGGAAGAGCCTAGAACATGTAAAAGGAAATTTAGTTTGATAGTTTTCTGTTTGGTAAGAACTCACTTATCAATAGACATAGTTGGGAAACCCTTATGTCTTTACAGATGTGGCTGTGAAATCCTCACTTCTGTATTGTTTTGTCATTAGAGTTCCCACTTTGCTACTGTTTATTTGCATGGGCTCTGTCTGGTTCGGTGATTGTTTCTAGCTGCTGTATAATTAATTTTGCTGGGTGTAAACTAATGAAGGCGGTGGGATATAATTGGTTAGCTAATCATGTTACACTGTTAGGATTGGTTAGGTAAATTTGAGTAGAATGATTGGTTAAGGTATAGCTGAGAATGTTACTATATAAATTAGGGGCAAACAGGAAGTAAGTGGGGATTCAAAAATCAGGAAAAAGGAACGTGGATTTAAGCTGCTGGACGTTCAGCCCAATAAACATCGAATTGTTTGCAGCTTCGGAGTTCGGGTCTTGTTGCTCTCTGTTCACGCGAGAAGGACCAGGGAAGTGGGAGGGTGAAGGAATAAGCCCCTAACACAGCTCTGTAATGTACTTTACCTAAATGACCGATTTGTGCTCTCAACCTTAATTAGGGCATCTGTGATTCTACTAACAGGTGAATTTCCAGAGAAACTAGAAATAATTTGATAAAATTTCTCAACTCTAACTTTCGAATGATCTTTGGCTGAGCTGTCACTGACGATCCCATAATTAGATTGGCATACAAAGCCTGATTGGCAGATGGATAAGTATCTATATTAAAGGATCTAGCCACCTTGAGACAGGTTCACTGGATAAAGCCACATTTTGTCCCCAAAAGACCAGTGGAAACTAATCAGAAGACATTGTCAAAACACAGTAGGATGGTCTAGTGGGCAGAGGAGGGGAATAGACCAAAGAACCATGGTTCTAGTCACAGGCCAACCCATTACCTGCTACAAGTTGCTGGCTCCCCGTGCCTCAGTTTCCCTCCCTGTAAAATGAGGACCATCCAGCGTGTGTGAGGTGCTCATCTGAAACTTGCTATGGCTGTAGTTTATTCTGAATAAAACATTCATGTGATCTCGTATGCTGACAGTGCAAGGATGGAGTTTCTCTGGCGTCTGTTGATGATGATCGGGATCCTTGCAGGGACTGGGGTGTCTCAGGGCTGCACCCCACCACCAGGGGGTAAGGAGCTGGCACAATATTGTTCTCTTTTATGTTCTACCCCATTCCCTTAGACCCCAACCTCTGCCTAGTGAGACAGCCGAAACCCTAGGAGACACTTCCCTTCCCACCGCTGGCCTGGGCAGGGGCTCCAGCTGGCAGGGACAGATGGGGGAGGCTCCATCTGAACATCTTGCCCCATCCCTGCCTCAGGGACCAGCAGCAGCTGGATATGGGATGTGGGGAGACTGAAAGGGGCTCTGCCTGGGTGAGACCCCAACACAGACCTGCTGTCACTCCTGTCCCCTGGGGCCATGGTTCCCACTATGAATCTGGCTCTCATGCAGTGGCTGGTTTGTGTCACTGCTGGGAAGCGGCTCCGGCTCCGTGTGGGACAAAGGGTGTCTAGAGTCCCTCAGCGATGGGCACGTCCCACCTCCCCTCTTCTCGCCCTCTGATTCCAGCTCAGAACTTGGCGCTGGGACGCCCGGCCACTCAGTCCTCCATATATGGAACTAATGTGGCTGGAAAGGCCGTGGATGGAAATCGTGATGGGAAGTGGGCACAAGACTCCTGCAGCATCACCAAGTACAATACAGCGCCGTGGTGGACCGTGGATTTGGGCAGTCGTCAGTCTGTCTCCGCGGTGATCGTGAAGAACAGGGAGGACTGCTGTGGGGAGAGAATCGCAGGGGCCCAGGTCCGCGTGGGAGACTCGCTGATCGACCAGGGCAAGCACAACCCCATGTGAGTTGCTTCCCCATTCTCTGGAGTGAGACGACTCCTCCCAGCTCAGACACAGGGGTATCGTTGCCAGCTGGGGCCAGGGTGAGGTCTATTCCCCTCGGAGCTGCCTGAGTCTGGGAGCACGGTGCTGGCCGTGCTCTCAGTTCCTGGATGGAAGGGAACCCCATGTCACTGAGCACAGCAACCCCTGCAGGGCAATCCAGGGTAGAGCCGATCTCTTTCCAAGTCCCTCTGTGTTCTCTTTCTGTCCTCACAACTGCTCCTTAGAATCATAGAATATCAGGGTTGGAAGGGACCTCAGGAGGTCATTTAGTCCCACCCCCTGCTCAAAGCAGGACCAACCCCAACTAAATCATAGAAGCCTCTCATCAAAGGCAACAGGAACTGATTTTTCCAACATCCATAGATTTCTAAGGCCCGAAAGGACCTTTCCGATCATCTAGTCTGACCTCCAGTATTGCACGGGCCAGAACACCTCACACACTGATTCTGCACTCAGCCCACAATTTCCCTGTGAGCTGCAGTGTATCGAGTCTTCATTTAAAGACTCCAAGGGAAGGAGAATCCACCGTGTCCCTTGGTTATCTGCTCCCTCGGTTAATGACCCTGACTGATGAAATGTGAACCTTATTTCTCGTCTGAATTGGGTTGTGATGGGAACAGGGACACACCCCGTCTCCTACAGTCTGTCATTCACTCCGTTCTTTGGCCTCTGCAGGCTCAGAGTTAAAGGGTCGTCAGTCCTGCGGCCAACTCGCCTGTGCCCCCTAATCTCAGCCTCTCGCTCTTGTCTTCTGCTCTTTGCAGCTGCGGGACCATCACCGACACCACACCAGGATCCCTCAGCACCATCTGCTGCAACGGGCTGGAGGGCCGCTACGTCACCATCACCATCCCGGGCAGGGCGGAGTATCTCACCCTGTGTGAGGTCGAGGTCTACGGGACCCAGCCAGGGGATGAGTGCTAGGAAGCGGGAGTGACACAGTCCACGGTGAGGGGATGGGAAGAACCTCTCCTTGCGCTGGGGAGTGGGGTTTGGTGCAGAAATGAGCCGCTGTCCCCTAATAAACTCCACTGGTCCCTTCCTGCATCTCTCCTGTCGTTTGTCTCCATCACTCATGTCCCCCTCCCCTTCCCTGCCCCTACAGGCAACGTGGTTCTGATCCCACACGAGCCAGAGGGGCCTCGGCTCCAAACCCCAGAAGGGCTTTGGGTTAATCCAGTTCTGCTGCTGCTGCTTCCAGCCCTTCCCTCCTCCCAACGCCCACTGCCCATTTCCCAGCCTGCTCCCCCCTCTGAGTACAACCCGCTCTCTGGCTCCCCGTCCCTTCTCCCAACCTGGGGCTGAGGCACCTGTTCTCCCTTCCCCCTTCAACCCAACGCTCCTTCACAGCCCTCCCCCGAACTCCAGCTGCCCGGCTGTCACTGCTAGCCCTGGGCCATCAGCAGAGCGGGGCTGGCTTTGGCCTGTCCATCCACGAACTCTGCAGCTGCTTGGGCCCTTCTGGGACGCCTCTGACCCTGAGGAGCCCCAGGAGGGTGGAAGAGCAGAGCTGACAGCTGATATGGGGCCAGATTCCGGCGGGTGCAATTGGGCACAACTCCACTGGTGGCACTGGGATTGCAGCCGCTTATGCCAGGGCTGAATTTCACCCCTATATTGTGCACAGTGATCGTGAGCCAGGCAGTGGTAACAGAGCGGTGTCCAGCCCCGAGCCTGGGTCACAGGGTGACTATTAATGTGTGGAGGAGTACGGCCAAGTTCCCGTAGTAACAGTTTGATGTACGTTGTGATGTTGCACTCCATATGATTTTATGAAAATATGCTAATAAGTGTGAATATAATGTAATTGGAATATGCTTCATGCAAAAGGTCTCTTGTAAGGTATCATTGCAGAGCTTATAATCTACTGAGTGTGTTCATCCTATTTGAATGAATGTATCATTCTTGTATCTGAAACTAGAAATATGAAATATAACTCTGAGTCCTATTGTAATTATGCAAAGTGGGGGCCGTTAATGGTGGCTTGGAATCTTGATGGCTCCCCTCAACTAGGACAATTGACTGTAGACGGCTCTGTTTACTTGCAAGCTGTCAAGGCTCCTTCCCCACTCTGAACTTTAGGGTACAGATGTGGGGGCCTGCATGAAACTTCTAAGCTTAACTACCAGCTTAGATCTGATCCGCTGCCACCATTCCCAATGTGCTACTTCCCTTCCCTGGGTAGCCTTGAGAGACTCTTCACCAATTCCCCGGTGAATACAGATCCAAACCCCTTGGATCTTAAAACAAGGAGAAATTAACCATCCCCCCTCCTTTTTCCCACCAACTCCTGGTGGAACAAGATCCAACCCCCTTGGATCTAAAAACAAGGAAAAATCAATCAGGTTCTTAAAAAGAAGGCTTTTAATTAAAGAAAAAGGTAAACATCATCTCTGTAAAATCAGGATGGAAAATAACTTTACAGGGTAATCAAATTTAAAGAGCCCAGAGGAATCCCCTCTAGCCTTAGGTTCAAAGTTACAGCAAACAGAGGTAAACACCCTAGTAAAAGGTACATTTACAAGTTGAGAAAACAAAGATAAAACTAACACGCCTTGCCTGGCTGTTTACTTACAAGTTTGAAATATGAGAGACTTGTTCAGAAAGATTTGGAGAGGATGGATTGATGTCTAGTCCCTCTCAATCCCAAGAGCGAACAACCACCAAAACAAAGAGCAAAGACAAAAACCTTCCCCCCACCAAGATTTGAAAGTATCTTGTCCCCTTATTGGTCCTTTGGGTCAGGTGTCAGCCAGGTTACCTGAGCTTCTTAACCCTTTACAGGGAAAAGGATTTTGGAGTCTCTGGCCAGGAGGGATTTTATAGTATTGTACACAGGAGGGCTGTTACCCTTCCCTTTATAGTTATGACACAAGCCTTCCTGTGAGTCAGGCTGGGAAGAATGAAGGCTTGGGGGGTCTCACAGGACATGTGACATGTGACCATGTCACCTGGTACTGGAATCCATCTTTAACCTGGTGCTTTTCCATTTAGAAGGAGTAGTGAGGACCCAGAGAGACAAAAGATTCCAGCCTTGTGCCAAAGCTATAAAAAGGGGTGGAACAGAACAAATTGGGCTGCAGTCATGAGAAATCTCCTAGCTATCACCTGAGCTGGAACAAGGACTGTACCAGGGGAAAGGATTGGGCCCAGACTAGAAAGGAGTCTAGTCTGTGAAAGAAGCTTATTGGACCATCTTGGAGGGTGAGATTTCATCTGTATTCAGTTTCCTTCTGTATTTTTATTTTGCTTGGTAACTTATTTTGTTCTGTCTGTTATTACTTGGAACTGCTTAAATCCTACTTTTTATATTTAATAAAATCACTTTTTGCTTATTACTGAACTCAGAGTTAGTGTCTAATACTTGGGGGAGTAAACAGCTGTGCATATCTCTCTATCAGTGTTATAGAGGGTGGACAATTTATGAGTTTACCCTGTATAAGCTTTATACAGAGTAAAAGGTTGTCAAGATTCTTTTTGTTCCTAAGAACATAAGAACGGCCATACTGGCTCAGACCAAAGGTCCATCCAGCCCAGTATCCTGTCTACCAACAGTGACAAATACCAGGTGCCCCAGAGGGAGTGAACCTAACAGGTAATGATCAAGTGATCTCTCTCCTGCCATCCATCTCCACCCTCTGACAAACAGAGGCTAGGGACACCATTCCTTACCCATCCTGGCTAATAACCATTAATGAACTTAACCTCCATGAATTTATCTAGTTCTCTTTTAAACTCTGTTATAGTCCTAGTCTTCACAACCTCCTCAGGCAAGGAGTTCCACACGTTGACTGTGCGCTGTGTGAAGATGAACTTCCCTTTATTTGTTTTAAACCTGCTGCCCATTAATTTCATTTGGTGGCCCCTGGTTCTTATATTATGGGAACAAGTAAATAACTTTTCCTTATTCACTTTCTCCACACCACTCATGATTTTATATACCTCTATCATATCCCCCCTTAGTCTCCTCTTTTCCAAGCTGAAAAGTCCTAGCCTCTGTGGACGTACCATGGATTTATATAAGGGCAATAAGATATTTTCCATCTTATTCTCTATCCCTTTTTGAATGATTCCTAGCATTTGTGTACAAGCACTTTAAAACTTGTCACTGTTTATTTGTCTGCCCTTTTCTGATGTGTCAGATTCTTTTTTATGTGAATGTTTCTCATCTGATCTGGCCCATCCTTTATCCTCTTCCATCCTCTCCTCCTGACTACAACCTAGAGAATCTCTATCAATAGACTCTCCTCTAAGAGAAGTCTCTGTCCGATCCATGAGCTCCTCTGCAGCAATCGGCTTTCCCCCATCTCTTAACAATTGCTCTACACCATTTTTAATGTCCTAATACAGTATATTTTAAAAATGACTTATTGTCTTTAACGCTGGTGGCCTTAGATCTCTCCTTGTATCCCTAGGCTTCCATTAGCAATTTCCTCAATTTCTAACTTCTGATTTATATTCATTACCATCATTTCCCCTTTCTTCCATTTGTTGTATTTTTATTATTATTATGATTTATTTATTTTTTCAGCTGCCTTCACTTCCTCTCTAAACCAGGTTGTTTTTTTAACCGGCATGGCCTTCTTCCTCCACTGCGGAATTGTGGCTTTTTGGACATATACTAAGGTGTTCTTCAATGATTCCCAATTATTCCGATTTTTCTGATTAAATTTTTCCTCCCAGTTGATTCCATTCATAATTGTTTTCAGCTTTGTGAAATTGGCCC